TGAAATTCAATAGCATTGCAGAGAATGCTGACTTGGATCTGTATCCTCTCATTTGCAATCCTGGTTGACGAGACTAACGAATGGGTTTACAATGGGATTAATAATGGCGTTTATAAATGTGGGTTTGCAAGAAAGCAGGAACCTTACGAAGAGGTAAGCATCCTTCATGTGATGTAGGAAACACTTGCATAATTTCATGATCACTATTAAATAAGCAGGGGGCAGCATTCTCGTCCCAAAATTTAAGGTAAAAATTAGAAGAGATTAAGAGGGCAGGAGAGAGAAGAGAAAGATGAGGGAAAAAGGTAGAGGAAAATGAGGAAGAAAGGAAAGAAACTGATTATAAGAGGGAGGGAAACCAGATTTTAGAGAAAGAATTGCTTCAATTCTACTCCACTAACCATTTTCATTCACATCATGTACAATTTTTTTACATAGTTAAAAAAGGGGTCAAAAGAGCCAATATCAATCTTTTGCGACTAGAGAAGTTGGGCATTTGAGATTATTATCATTTTTGTTCAATGAGAGATGGGATGAGTTGCCAACTTCACAAGTTTGCAACTTGTGGTTCTCACCTCCTTAGGCCACCATTTCTAGATCCATGAGAGGGCATAAGCAGGCAACTTTTTGTTGCCACCTCTTTAAGTCATTTGGAGCCTAGCACCCAAAGGACCAATACAGAAGAAGGGGTGTATCAGTTTACCAATAGTAAGATGCCACCGTATCCTTCCAAAAGCAAGAAAAGCAAAGCAAAATAAGAAGTTACAGTCAAAGTAAAAATGACATTTTTTTAACTTATGCCCCTATAAGTGAGTCCAGTCTTTTGGTGCTTGGGATGGTCCTCAGTTATCCTCTCCTAGTGAAACAGAACTCAACATCTAAGAGTGAAATGAAGATACCTCTTCCAAAATCCAGCATATATTGCTTTACTCCCATATTTAGAGATCCAAGTATTCTCTAATGGTAGAAGACCTTCCCATCTAACTAAAAGCTGATGACAACCACTGTGAGGAGAAGTGATAACCTCTGTGTCAAGTATACTATTGACAACTGAAAATTTGTAACTAAATTTTCTGTTCTCTTTGAATTTTATTCATGATACTTATCTACAACAACTAGATATAAATAGGAATAAATTAGAGAGAGATTGAGTAAAAAAACGAAATATAAATCAGTCCTGTAAAAGGAGGGATCTTTCAGTTATGGAAGCAACTATGATTTTACTGTATAAAGAGATTTTCCTAAAGATACTAATATGTTTTAGTATCAGATTTCTACAAGAGAAAAATCCCCCATAATCCGGCAAAATTAATTTATTTTCTTCCCTCTTTTCCCTCACAGGAAAAATTTCACTTGAGGGATTTTCTCTCAAAATGCCCTCAAGCTCGCTGTTGATTTCCTGCATGTTACAATTTTGTCGGATTTCTATACTCCCCCTCAAGCTAGTATAGAATTGTTGAGCAAAACAAGCTTGGAACTTAATTCTTCAAAAGTCTTCCTAGGTAACTCCTTGGTGAAAATATCCATGGTTTGATGGTAAGACCAAACGTGCAACAAGGATAATGCTTCTGACTCTTTCGTCTTTTAATAAAGTGTCTATTAACTTCTATATGTTTAGTTCAATCATAATGAAACGGGTTCTTTACAATGCTTATTATATATTGAATGTCACATAACACTTTCATAAGATCTAAAGAGGGAATTCTCAATTCATCCAGTGCTCTTTGTAGTAACATTCCTTTACAGATACCATGTGCTAATGAAACACTTATAGAATTTGAAGAGAGGATTCTCAATTCACCAAGTACCCTTTGTAAACACATTCCTTTGCAGATATCTTGTGTTTAGGCTCTAAATTCAGCTTCAACACTATTCCCTGATATCAGTGATTACTTCTTACTTCTTGAAACAACTAAGTTTTCTTAGACACATGTATAATATCTAGAAGTGAATTTTCTATCAGTTATAGAACCAACCAAATCTATATCAGTATATATTCAATTTCTTGACTTGTGTTTTTCTTGAAAATAGTCATTGTCTAGCTGTTATGTTTAGATACTTGAGAATCCAAAACACTATTCTCATAAGGTCTTCAATTGGGTTATTCATGAATTAACTTACCAAATTGACGACAAAATTGATATTTGGTCAGATATGTGAAAGATAAATTAATTCACCAATTAGATGTTGATACATTTATTTGTCAACTGGACCACTATCAATTTTATTTCCCAATTTAATATTGGGATCCACTTGTGTGTCTGCGGGCTTGCATCCAAACATTCCAGTTTCTTTTAGAATATTCAACTCATATTTACACTGAGAAACTGAGATTCATTTCTTTGACCTAATGATTTCTATTTCCAAGAGCTATTTGAGATTTACTAAATCTTTAATATAATTTTTTTAGTTAAGACTTTTTTTATTCTGAGTACATCCTTTGTGTCATTCTGTATAATTATTATATCATCTATATATATGATGAGGATTATCCTTTTTCCTTAAGAATCATACTTGATAAATATAGTATGATCTGTTTGGTATTGATAATCTTAGTGAATTTGTTTAACCATGCTTTTGAAAATTGTTTGAGGGCATATAGGGACTTTTTGAATCCGTGTACCTCTTTATTAATGACTTGACTTTCAAAATCAAGTGGTATAGACTTCTTTCTCTAGTTCTCCATTAAGAAAAATATTCTTCACACCTAATTAGAATAATGGCTAATTCAAATTGGTAATTAGGGACATTAGTAAGCTATGTTAAGGTTTATTATTAGTGCAAATGCATCATGATAATCATTTCCATGGGATTGTATAAGGTCTTTGGGTACTAATCAAGCTTTGAACCTTTTGATGTTACCATCAGAATGCTTGATTGTGAACATCTATTTAAACCCGACTGGGTGTTTTCCTAGTAGTAATTCTGCTATTCCTAAGTTTCATTCTTTTCTAAGGCTTGAATTTCCTCCATGATTGATATTTTTCATTCGGATACTTTTAGTACTTCATATGTTGTCCTTGATACCTAGTGAGTTGAAGATAAATCTTTATATGAATTGTGAATTGAATGATTAGTGCATGCGTTTTGTTTTTGTTTTTTAAAGCAATAGTCTATCATCATTATATAGATTATCAAAGGAAAGATTGGATTTTGTATTACTTGAACTATTCAATGATGCTGGGTTTGGATCTAGATTGGAAGTCATGACTCTTATTAGGTGGTTGTGGCTCTTTCTCTTCTTGTCTCTTGTTCCTTCTGATTTAGACGCAAAGTTAGGTTTTTCAATATGGTGAGTAGGTTCAGATCAGGAGTTTTATCTAGATCTTTGTGTTATGAGGATTGAATAAATTTAGTTGGAGGATGATAAAAATATTAAGAGATAGAGTTCCAAAATTGAGATTCTTGTGTATTCTTCTCCCATTGATTACCAATTTCGCAATATGGTTGATTTTTATGAAAGATGACGGTCATGGAATTATAGAACTTCTGAATGGCTGGTGAGGACCTAGCTAAGATATATCTTGTTGATTTATGGTTTTGTTTGCTTATGTGATGGTTGCATATATGAATAAGGGCTGAACAAGTAAAGACTTTGATAGATAGGATAGCTATCAGTCTAGTGGTAGGAAAGGTTTGAAGCATTACTTGGTAGGGTGCTTAAAACTCAAGGACTTTGGAAGACATTCTATATGAGAAGCTGATTGACATGGGATATTTTCTGTCAGAAATTTGTATGAGAAGCTGGTGAGTAAAACGAAGAACACTGATACTTCTGTCCCTGTTCAACAAATTTGGAAGACTTCTACTCATTCAAAAATTGCATTTTTTGCCTAGGAAGCTTACAAAGGGAGGATCCTAACCATTGATAAACTCATGAGGAGAGGGAAGATTATGGTGAATGGTTGCTACATGTGCTGGAAGGGGGCAGAGACTTGCAATCATTTGTTACTTTGGTGTCTTGCCACTTATGATTTATGTTTAATGGTGTATAAATTGTTAGGGGTTAGTTGGGTGAGTCGGGGATGGTGAGGGATGAAATGTGGGCTTGGAGTGGCCTTTGTAAAAAGAACAAGTTGATGAAGTTAATTCCATTACCCATTTTTTTGGTTATTTGGAAGGAAAGAAATAGTAGGGCGTTTAATGCGATAGTTCGCGATTGGGTAAAGATTCATGATAGACGGTTTCATCTTTTTGGATCTATATATCTTACCCACAATATATATAGTCTGGAGGATTTTGGGTATATTATCGACTGCCTAACTGACGTGTAAATAATTTTGTATATGGCTTGCACCCCATTTGGTACGGTTTTTATATACTTTTTTTGTCTTTGATATTTTGAAGAAAAAAAAATAGAGTGACTTCCTCCTAGAAAAATTTTGGAACTTGAGTTGTAAACTTGAGAAACCACCCAACTTCCAAGAGATGTTTACTTTTCCTTTCCGTTATCCCATTTGTTGATATATTGATGACATGACCTCTAATGAACAACTCCTTTTCAAGATACATACGAAACTTTTTTTCAAGCTATCCTTTTGTATTGTCTGTTTCTAACATTTATATTTTTTTCTGGAAATGAGTTTGAACCATGTTAAATTTTTTGGATATATAGCCAACTTCTAATTTTTTCTTTCATAAAAAAGTCATGTAATTCTTATATGATTATCTATAGAGGATATAAGTCATCTAGTAATATTAGTATTGTTGATTTTAGATGATCTCCAGACATCAATATGTACCGTAGCAAATGTTTAGAGGCTTTGTATGACAACGTGAGGTATTTAGTACGAGTATATTTTAACAATTAATATATTTTTAAATGAAATTGTTTTGAGTTTTTATTTCTAAATAAAGAAGGGAACAAAGTTTGGGTGTCCCAATCGATAATACTATAATGTAATTGTGCTAAGATTGTCTAAATTGGATTGTTTTGAGGTTCAACACATACTGCATTATGGAATAGTCTCTTTAAAAGTCCATTATTCTTGAAGAGAAAGAGCCTTAGCATTGACAATCGTCCTTTTCGAATCCAAATCTTGAAATTCACATAACTTTGATGAAAATTTAGCAATACAATTATAATCTTGGATAAGTTTACTTACAGATAACAAGTTGCGATTGAGATTAGGTACATGAAGCACTTCCTTTAAGGTTAACTCCTTTGAGATGTGGATATTACCTATTCCGGCAACTGCTAAGTGAGATTTATCCACTGCTTTTACAATGAGATTCTCATTGCATGAATTATATTCTTGAAACAAAATTTTATTTCTTGTCATATGGTTGGAGACTCCTGAATCGATGTTTCAAGTATTTTGATTTCTAGAAATAATATTGAGAGTACTAAAGAAATTACCTTTTGGCTTTTGTCCCAACTCCTTTGTTACTACTAATGGAGTTTTGATGGAAAAATATTTTTTAGAGGGTTTCTATGTGCTCTTGACTGAATGTGCATGATTTCTTAGTGGAGATAACTTCAATGGAGAAATGATTTCCCTTCATTTTTCTGTGATTGACTTTGTGGCCTTCAAATTAGCTGGTTTTCCATGAATTTTTCAATAATTATCACCAGTATGATCTAGTTTCCTAAAGTGGTCACACCAAGACCGAGACCTTCCCTTTCTTTGCTAGTTGTGTAAGTTGGAATGAGGGTCCTAGGTAACGAAACTAAAGTTTTGCTCAGTGGTAGAGCTTGTGAATCCTTCTCCCAACACTAAACTTTTTCTGCTCTCTTCTCTCATTATTTCAGAAAATACTTTACGAATACAAAGTAGTGGTTTCATTCCCAGTATTTTTTCCTCAGATTTCATTTAAGTTTTTATTCAATCTCATGAAAAATTTGAAAATTCTTTTTCTTATCCCTAAAATTTCACTATATTGTTTTTCATCATTTGAACGGCTCCACGCAAGTTTCTCAAATACATCGAAGCTGTTGCCAATAACAAGTGAGCAAATCGTATACTAGGTTACATATAGATCTCCTTGTCGTAGTCATGGAGGGTAGATTTAGTGGCAAATATTTCTAATGTGTCTTCTTTGTACAAATAGATCTCTTTAGCTGCTTTTCAAATTATGTGTTGTCTTATATACAATGTGAAATTTTCACCGTAATATCATTTGTCATGGAAATAATTAGCCACGGTATGACTAGATAATTTTCAGCCTTCTAAGTTTGAAATTTTGGATTTTGGCATTTAGTAGTGTCTTGTCTAGTGAGGTATTTACTTTCTCTCCTTTTGTAGATAACATCTGATCAATTAAGACCGGTTGGATGTAGTCGCTTCCGTTTAGCTAGTGGTTAATGATCAAAATTTGAGAGGCTTTCGATTTGAGTGGTTTGATGGAAATAATTCCGTCAGATGAAGGTGCGATTTCGGAGAGGTCTGTAGTTTTTATCATGATCATTCTATATGTAGTCATCGACAAGAGAGAAAGAAAAGGGTTTTAGGTAGAGAACCTAGCTCTTAAACGATTAAAGTTTGTAGTTAATTTTTTTTCTTTGAATTCTATTTACAATACTTAATTTACAACAGAGAGATATAAATAAGAGAATATTAGAGAGAGTTTGAGTAGAAAACCAAATATAAATTAGTTCTATAAAGAGAGAAAATCTTCTAGTTGTAGAAGTCGACTATAATTCTATTTTATAGGAGATTTCTTTAAAGATACAAATCTGTTAAATATCAAACTTCTACAAGAAGTCAGATTCCTACAATAACATCCGTGGACTGTGAAAGTAGAGGAGTCATGGGTATATGTTGATTTGTAGAGCTGCTAGGAGGCACAATAGGTGACCTCAAAAGTACCTCAATGAGGGGTTAAATCCTCCACATTAAGAATACGACCAATATTCATTTGAGCTGGCAAATTAAGCTTATGTTAGGTCCTATTTTATGAAGAACAGGAAAATGGCCCAAGGGCTTTCCTCGGGTGTTTTAGATTTCACATTGGGCATATGCAGACCATGACATAGTGACCTTTATTCAATTGCTTTGCCCTGTGATGAATGAATATCAGCAGCTAATTTATAATCTACATCACCTATGGCAGTTTTCCGCTTAATCTCAACATGTAATTCATGTGAATGCTAGTTAGAAGATTGTGTAGACTCAAAGGTTTAAACATCTCAAGGAAGTGGAATATGGTCACTAGTGCAAGGTTTGTAACCATGACAATCACCTAAACTACAACTGACTACCTTAGTCTGACAATCTGTTTGGAGATGAAATACAGAAGATAACTTTAAACTAGCGCCATCCAAGGCCTAAAGGGTCTTCCAAAAATATCTTACAAACTTTACATCCCTTTTAAGGCACTATTGAAATTGGTAATCTATGCAACTAACAACTTCCTGACAGAACAATCTAGTTAATATCATATTTGTACGCCGGTTCCAAAAAGGGCATCTGGGCCTATAGGTGATTCTGAAGTCTTTTGGTTCTTGGGATTCTTCTCATGATTAAGATAAAGCTGAAGATGCTTGATACTTAAATGCTTTGGTGGACTCTGCCACTTTTTGGATGTACTCTTATTTTTTATTTTTTTTTGCAGGCAATGAAGCAGTTGTATGAAACTCTGGATAAATGTGAGCAAATACTTAGCAAGCAGCAATATATTTGTGGAAATATGCTGACCGAGGCAGATATCCGATTGTTTGTCACCCTTATAAGATTTGATGAGGTATCAATTTTTGCCCCTCCTGTAAGATTTGATAAGGTATATGAATAGAATTGTTGTTGCTGGGTTATTATTTGTTACTGCCGTCCTTTGCTCCTCATTTCTAGGTGGTTTAAGAAGATTATTTTTTTGAACATATCCTTTTTGTATATTCTGGTCATATGCCCAAAATCATATGCTTTTTGATGTAGCAAATACAGAATATGGACCAGTTTAAATTATAGAAGATATTAAAGGAATTCTGGAGAAATCTACAATAATTTGAGTTTAGATCAACCACCATGAGTTGCACTGTTGTCACTGTTTCAATCAGCAGCTTAAGTCTAGAGTTCTTAGCAACTACCAAAACCTTTGGTTCTTATTGAGGACATTATAGGCCAGTCGAAGCAATTATAAACTGTAATCTCATCTCCTTTTGTTATTGATTGATACGTCTTAATAAGTTGATTTTGCTGTAATCATAGGTTTACGCGGTTCACTTCAAGTGCAACAAAAAGCTTCTTAGGGAATACCCAAATTTGTTTGACCATACTAAAGAGATATTCCAAATTCCTGGCATGAGTAGCACAGTCAACATGGAGCATATCAAGAAGCATTACTATGGAAGTCACCCTTCTATAAATCCATTTGGAGTTGTTCCACTTGGCCCAGATATCGATTATGCTGCCCCTCATGATAGAGACAGGTTTGCTAAGTAGGTACCAAAATCTACCAGTTTCTTTAAAGCAAATAAGACAAGGTGTATTTTGTCTTGTGTGTTCTTTTTTTCTGAAAGAATTATCTGGTGTGTTTTTGGACGAGGCATGTATCCTGTGCAGTTGCAAGTTGTAATTCCAGTAATTAGCAGTTGTTATGTCACTGCATGTTTTTACTTGTTCGTGGATGATAAATCCACCCCAGCCAAGAAACTTTTACCAATGGATTATCTATAATTACAAAAATGATTTTTTTTTATTATAAAAAACTCCGAATTGGTATAGTCAACCATATTTCTAGTATTTTTTATATTAATAAATTTGTTCTCTAGTAAAATGTAATAATAAAAAAAATATAAACTATAGTGACTTAAAATTTGTCAGTGTTTACTATCATTGCGCTCGTGAACAGTTATAATGGCTTATGTAGTTTATGAACAAATCTCCATGGAGGAGATCATGAAATTTTAAGAAATTTGCAGCAGATAAACAGTCAATGATCCATGCAATAGTATTAGCATCTGATTATCACAAAGTTAGATCTGCCTTTGCAGCAAACTCCAGAACTAAACAAACAATAGTCAAAACCCATATCAATCAATAATCATGTTTCTGCGTGAATCCAATTGGCAATAACTAAAACATAAATGACCCATTCTGTAATGTGTGTCTATATATACACACATACAGATTCAAGACAGAAAAGTTTAGTAGCATGCTTAAAGAAACAGCAATTCAATCAAGAATCCGGCGTCTGCTGTTTCCAGTCCACCGCTGAACACCACAGGTCCTCATTGTAATGTACATGTATATATATGTACACATACAAGCTAGGTCCTGTATATCACCAGCAGGAAATCTGCCAAAACAAAGTAAACAACTATATAACATACTCCATCTAATTCTATTCCTTGATCATTCTATTAAAGAAAGAAAAGTGATAGACAAGGGGCATTGATCTAATTTATAAAAACTGAACTTACCGTAACGGATAACTGTATGACCCAACACAGAATCCTAAATCCTTTTTCAAAGTAGTAGTTTTAATGGTTATCTTCTTGATGATAAGAAAGGCATATTGAAAGAGATAGCTGGGCCTGTTGACACTGCGACCGTTTCAGATGGGTCCCGCCGCTGGCGCACAGCGATCGCACCGCCTCACATTCTTCCGGACACATCTCCGACACCAGACACTGCGCCAGCGCCCTGTTCAGGTGCCGGCAAGCCGAGTCCCTCGCCAGACCGGGTGGGAACCGCCGGTGACACTCGTACGACGCTCGCTGCAACTTCTCGCATGAATTCATGCTTCCACTGTCTATGAACCAATCAATGTCAAGTTGAGAAGGTGGACGAATAGGAAACAGAGGATCCGGTAAGGCGCCATTGGAGACCGACAGATATGACAACGTTGACTTCTGGGCCTCGGTTAAGGGCCCATATTGATGATGAGTCTTAATCAAAATGGGCCTTATTAGCGTCAGCTGAAAATAATATCTCTCACATATTTTTCAATTTAATTTTTTTTTAGATTCTAATAATCATGAACAATAATTTAAACCAAATGGCTTATTCTTAAAGACGTTATTGAAAAATAAAACGATAAAAAGTGCTCCTACAAAATCTCTCTCTCTTTTTATTTTTATTTATTTATTTTTTTCTTTGAACGTGGAATAAGAATAGTAGTGTACTATATATGTATGTGGGAAGAAGAGTGGCAGTTTGAGTTTTGGCTAATGGGCTATGCACTATCATCTATCTACACAGACCTTGTCCTAGTAGGGCATGAAAGTCTTCGTGGGGCT